GCAGTCTTGGCGGTCGAGCTGGCAGAGGTGCTCCAATCTGAGATAGATATAAAGTTGCAAGTAGTCAGGTTCTTCACAGACAGCCGCATCGTGCTGGGCTACATCCATAACAGTTCACGAAGGTTCTATACTTATGTAGCTAATCGAGTAGCTCACATTCGAGTCTCCACTGAACCAAAACAGTGGCAGTATGTGTTGACTGACCAAAACCCTGCAGATCAGGGGACCAGACCAATTCCGGCAGCTTACATAGTCTCATCCAATTGGTTGCTTGGCCCTCCTTTTCTCAGTCAGCTGAGTCCAAGACAGGATGATGAAGCAGAATCATTTGAACTTGTGCAACCGGATGCAGATAAAGATATTCGGCCCCAAGTCACCTGTCTTGTAACCAAGACCGCAGAGCAGTGTTTTGGAGCATCAAGGTTTGAACACTTCTCTGTTTGGAAGAGCCTAGTAAGAGGCATGGCAAGTCTTAATCATGTAGTCAAGTCATTCTCCAGAGAGTAAGACTGATAGATGTAAGGGGTGGCATCAATGCAGTAGGCCACTCACCACAGAGCGTTCTCAAGCGAAGATAGATATCTTCAAGGCTGTGCAGGAGGATGTGTATAAGGAGGAGCTGAGATGCTTAACTCAAGGTACCAAAGTGCACTGCCAAAGTCCTCTTGCAAAGCTGGATCCCTTCATTGATAAGACTGGGTTGATTAGAGTTGGAGGTTGGATACACAGGGCTGATTTGGAAGACCAAGAGAAACATCCACTCATTCTACCAGCTGGCCATCATGTGACCACTCTCTTGGTTCGACATTATCATGACAAAGTAGCTCACCAAGGTCGCCACTTCACAGAGGGTGCATTGCGCACCGCTGGTGTCTGGATCGTAGGAGGGAGGAGACTCATCTCTAGCATAATATTCAAATGCATCATCTGTAAGAAGTTGAGAGGCAAGAGAGAAGTTCAAAAAATGTCTGACCTGCCGGCTGACAGGTTGGCAACAGACCCGCCTTTTACTCATGTAGGGCTTGAAGTTTTCGGCCCCTGGAGTGTCACCACCCGGCGGACACGAGGTGGAGCTGCTGAGAGCAAGAGGTGGGCGATCATTTTTGCTTGTCTAAGTACAAGAGCTGTGCACTTTGAAGTTATTGAATCCATGTCAACCTCAAGCTTCATCAACGCCTTGAGGCGCTTTCTATCCATACGTGGACCTGTTAAACACCTAAGGTCGGATAGAAGCACGAACTTCATCGGTGCATGTAGAGAACTTCAAATAAACACAGACGACCCTGAGATCAAGAACTACCTGCAGGAGCAGGGATGTACGTGGACCTTTAATGCTCCCCACTCCTCGCACATGGGAGGAGCTTGGGAGAGGTTAATAGGAGTGGCAAGATGCGTCCTGGATGGACTGTTAGTAACGGATGGTGCCATCAGACTGTCTCATGAAGTCCTATCAACCTTGATGGCCGAAGTTATGGCAATCATGAATGCTCGACCTCTGGTCCCAATCTCATATAATGCCGAGATTCCTGAAATGCTCTCACCTGCCACCCTGCTCACCCAGAAGGCGAGTGTTACTCCTGCACCTCTGGGAGATTTTGAATTAGATCATCTTTGCAAGGTACAGTGGTGCCAGGTTCAGAGCTTGGCAGACTCCTTCTGGAAAAGGTGGAGATTGGAGTACCTGGCAACACTTCAGTCACGCAGGAAGTGGACCTCGGAGCAGCCTGACCTCC